GATTAGAGAAATACAAATTAAAACAACTCTGAGGTACCATCTCATACAAAAAAAAAGGAAAATAATAAATGTTGAAGATGTGGGAAAATATGGATACTAATGCACTGTTGGTGGAGTTGTGAAGTGATCAAGCCATTCTGGAGAGCAATTTGAACTATGCCCAAAGGGCTATAAAACTGTACTTTGACCCTTTGACCCAGCATAAAATGGGAAAAGGACCCATAAAAATATTTATGGCAACTTTTTTTATGGTGGCCAAGAATTGGAAGTTGAGGGGACGCCCATCAATTGGGGAATGACTGAACAAGTTGTGATATATGAATGTAATGGAATACTATTGTTCCATAAGAAAAGATGAGCAGGTGGACTTCAGAAAAACCTGGAAAGATTTATAAGAACTGATGCTGAGTGAAGGGAGCAAAACCAGAAGAACATTGGACACAGTAACAGCAACATTGTGCGATGACCAACTTTGATAGACTTAACTCTTCTCAGCAATACAAGGATCTAAGACAATTGGGGGAAAAAATAAAATACTATTTTAAAAAAACAGTCTAGCTGAGGGGCAGTAAATAGGCCAGGGAAAGCCTGAACTAGTCTGGCCAGGGCAAGTCTGGGCCTTCACAAATTAAATCTCATGGTTTGTCTTTCATTGGAGCTCAAAACCTTTACTAGAGTTTTTGCTATTCACCTCCAAGTCTATACCAGCTAGGGGATACCAGAGTGCACAGAGCCCTGGACCTGGGGTCTCAGACATTTGCTAGCTGTGTGACCCTGGGCAAGTCACATAACCTCTGACTGCCTCCATTTCCTTATCTGTAAAATAAGGATAATAATAACATCTGCTTCTCAGAGGTGTTGTGAGGATCAAATGAGATAATATTTGTAAAGTGTTGAGTATAGTGTAGGCACTTAAATGTTTGCTTCCTCCCTCTCTCCCTTCCTTTCCCTCCTTCCTTCCTTCCCTCCCTCTTCTCTAGAAAAGGAATATACAAATTTTTCTATGACTTCAAACTTTTCTGACTCCTTTATGACAATCCTCTTGCTTTCAGAATTTACACTGACTCACAAAGCTTGTGAACTCCACACAAATATAATTCTATACAACAGTCAGTTTTCACATAAGACCAAAATGTAGGTCTATGTTAAGGTGACATCCTTAAAGGATCAGCTAGGGCTTTGGAGGGAGGGGAATTGGGAACAGGAATCCAGAAGAAGGAAGAACCATAGCTCCTGAATTGAAATAATTTGTCATTTATTAGACACCATTGAACAGGTCAGACTTTGCACAGTGCCTGACACATAGTAGGAGCTTAATAAATGTTTATTGACTAACTGAATTTGGATTCAGATTTCTCAAGTATCCTCCTTAGCTTTGCCAAGGCAAATCTTGCTTTCAACTTATCAAGAACGACACAGTATAAAGAAAAAACAAAAAACATAAAACCAGGCTGAATTTAGAGTCAGAGAGCCAGGTTCTCTGCTGAGTGACTACGTTTCTGAGCCTCTGTTTCCTCTTCAGAAACATGTAGATAAGAATGCTTGCAATACCTACCTTACAGGATTGTTGTGAAGAAAACACTGTGTAAATGGGAGCAATTACTGTCACTGCCTTTTATTCTGTCCCTTTGGTTGACGTTACAGCCACCTCTGATGACTCAATAGATTCCAAAGAAACTCAAAGTGGTGGTTTGAAAACTAACACCTCATTGCCTCCTGATAACTCCAAGGAACACATAAGCCTGCCAGGCTAGAGCTTAGAGACACCTCCCTCCACCACCACCCCACCCCCAAAAAGCTTATCATAGGTTGGTATTTTGCATTGGTCTGAAAGGTGATGCTTTTCAACTCCTCACTTCTTTCTTTCTCCTCCCCCCCCCTTCTCCTTTTCCTCCTCCTCCTCACCCAAGGTCAAAGTGTATTAGCCACTCACAGGCTGATCCGAGTACTGACCATCATGGAAATCTTCACCTGCTTCAGAACTGAACCAGTTTCTTTTTCCTAGGTAGCCTGATGACCCCTTTCCCTACAGGCTCACCATATTGATGCCAGACTTAGCGTCAACACCTGATAGGCTTTAGCTCTAGTGTGACTGGGAACTCCTGAGCTTGGGGATGCCCCACTCTCAGATTCCCCCAAGTAACAAAGATTACAGGTATGTGCCAGCATACCTGGTGATAGCTTATATTTCTATTATGCTTTAAGGTTTACAAAATACTTTCTTCCCAACAACTCAGTGATGTAAACACTGCAAGTAAAGCCAGTGTCAGAGTTAAGAATGGATTCATCCAGATAACTGGGCTCAGTCCAGCCAGGATTCTTTCCACTAAATCCCACTACCCCATGTATACCTAAAAGAAATGACCCAGAGTCTCCTCCATTTCTCTTGGGCCCCTCTGTGTGTGTGTCCCTGGGACTCTCTTGGGGAGGGTGGAGAAAGGATATGGGTTACAAGAGATACTAAATAGGAGCTCAAAGGTGAGAAATGGGGGGTCGGTGGGAGTAAAGAGTGAGTAGAAGGAATTTTCACCAGAGGCAGTGAGTTCTCCCCAACACTGAGCAAAGGCTAGATGCCCTCTTGTCACAGATGTTGTTGAATGGATTCTTATCCAGGTCTAAGATGGACCAACTGGTTTTTTAAGTCTCTTCCAACTCTGAGACTCTGGGAGAGAGAAAATACTCCCGTTTTCCTACCTCGGCACCTAGCTTGTCCTGGTCCTAGGAGTTAATAGTCTCAGCAATCAATGTCCAGACTCAAAGAGAGTTTTGATCTACTAAGGAAGTATTTTTGGCAGTTTCTTGGAGGAAGGAAGGCAAGGAGGAGAAACAGAGCCAGGAGGGGTGGGTGATAAGATAGGGAATCTGGTTAGCAATGTGATCACCAGGCACCAGGGGACAAAGGAAGAGCATCTTGTTACCTGGAACATCCTTGAACATCCCAGTATCAACCAGTGGTGGGGGACAATTCTCTTGCTATTCAATAAGCTAAGTTCTAAGCATCCTGGGGGCAGAGAAAAGGGCTGTATAGATGGAACAATGATGTGGCAAGGGGTGCAGATGGCAGAGAGTGAGTGTGGGAGATAAGGTGAGCTCACAGGGATGGTCAAGGGTAAGTGCCCCTTGGCACAGGGAGGGACCTGGAGGCCACTCAGAGGACAGAAGGAGTTCATATGGGCAGGGTTAAGTTTCTAAGACTTTTTTCAGCATCTCCAGATACTGCTGCAGCTGAGGCCAACAGGGCAGCCAAGTGAGCTGCAGACGGTACAGGAGGTTGAGGTCATGGGACTGGATTTCTGATTGCTGGCCTGAGGCAGGAAGGAAGAGCCAGATCCCAAGCCTGTCTCACCCTTTGGGGAGCCACCCTTTGGAGAGCTGAGTGGGAAAAGAACACAGGTCAGATAGGTCAGATAACTCTCCAAGGTTCTGTTCACAAGGACACTCACCTGAGAAGGGTCCAGACACACAGAGCCTCCCCAGACAATCTCCCTCTCAGTCCATCCCCCAACAAAAGACTCACAGACCCAATTAGAGAATCTCCAGAGGCCAGAAGTATGATATCTCCAAAGTCCCAGAGTCCTAGAATCACCCAAGGTGCAAACAGAAAGAGACAAACTTAATCATCCCACCCTAAAAGCTAAGGTCCTTTCTCACCCAAGCACAGAGGTAAGATGTGACATGTTCTAGGTTGCTTACCAACACTTACAGCCCCAAGTCATTCACTGAGTCTACATAGAGAGAAAGCATAGAAGTACACAAATGTTCTAAGCCTTCCAAAAGCCAAACCATCTATTCCCCCCTGAGCTCTACCCCAAGACCACCCAAGATAGATGAGCCTCAATTAGATCCTCTTCAAAAGTCAATAAACATTTATTAACCACCAACTATATGCCAGATATAGAGGTTGCACTGGCTTCCTCAGTCTCCTACAACTTTTAGAATCAGTAAAGTTACTCTACAGAGATTCTTTACCAGGGGTCCTTGGACCCCTTGGATGGGGGTGGGAATCCTTATCTTCACTACCGTTTGGTTTCTTCTGTAATCCTGTGTACTTTACATATTTAAAAACATTATTCTAAGATGTCCAGAGGCTTCACCTGACTGGCAAAGAGCTCCATAACATAAAAATACATTAAGGACATCTGCTCCAAGAAATCAACCTCAATCCACAATCCGGGGGAGAGAGAGGAGGAGGCAGGAGGGGAGGGGGTGGAGGAGGGGGAGAGGGGGTAGAGGAGGGGGAGGAGAAGAAGAAGAAGAAGAAGAAGAAGAAGAAGAAGAAGAAGAAGAAGAAGAAGAAGAAGAAGAAGAAGAAGAAGAAGAAGAAGAAGAGAGGAAGGAGAAAGAGAGGAGAAGGAGAAGAGGAGGAGGAGGAAGGAGAGGAGGGGAGGGAGGAGAGAGAAAGAGAGAAGTTCTATATATGGAGGTGGAAGAACCTGGGCTAAAGTCCTGGCCCCCAAAAACAACTACTCCAAGTCTTAAAATTCCTTTCTCTGCAATGGGAAAGAGCATTACCATCACTACCTACCTCATAGGATTTATAGAATTTCAGAGTTGGAAGGGACCTCAGTAGTGACCTAGCTCACTCTGCAATGTCCTCTACTATCTACCCAACAAGTTAAGTAATTTAACTTTGTCTTTGTGTCCATTTACCCAACAAGTTAAGCAATCCATTCTTTGTGTTAAGTCTTCCAATGATTGGTAAGCCATTGCATCCTGAAGCAACTTAGATTTAATTGTTGGGAAATGTTTCCTGAAGTAGAGCCCAAGTTGGGGTGTGCTGGAGCCAGGTCAAACTTGAGTTTGGGACCCAGTTGTTAAATTTTTAGGATAAGTATTTACACTTTGGAAATCAGCAAACACTATAAATCAGGAATTGATTTATTATTTTGTTGATTGTCTAGCCTTAGGAAAGTGGTGGAGGAAATGTTAAAGATGTGGATGAAACTAAAAAGTGTGCCTTGTACTTTTTTTTAGGAAAGATCAAATATTTACCAACATACCCCTGATGCCCAAATCTGCCTTTTTGCACCCAGAGCTCCTGGTTCTACCATCTAGGGTCAGGAAAAACAAGGATTTCCTCTTCCACATATGCCTTCAAGACTTCTATCTGGAAAAATAAAAGGTCAAGAATATCAAGGGAATTAATGGGGGGAAATGCAAAGGAAGGTGACCTAGCTTTGCCAGATCTCAAACTGTATTATAAAGGGGTAATCATAAAAACCATCTGGTCCTGGCTAAGAAATAGAGTGGTGAGGGGCAGCTAGGTGGCGCAGTGGATAGAGCACCGGCCTCAGACACATAACACTTACTAGCTGTGTGACCCTGGGCAAGTCACTTAACCCCATTGCCTAACCAAAAAAAAAAAATAGAGTGGTGGATCAGTGGAATAGATTAGGTACAAAAGACATAGTAGTAAACAACCTTAGAAACCTAGTATTTGATAAACCCAAAGACCCCAGCCTCTGAGATAAGAACTCACTTTTTGAGAAAAACTGCTGGGAAAACTGGAAAACAATATGACAAAACCTAGGTATAGACCAACATCATACACCATTTACCAAGATAAGGTCAAAATGGGCACATGGCTTAGAGATAAAGGGTGATACTTTAAGCAAACAGAGAAGAGAAGAATTTATTACCAAACAAGAGATAGAGAGCATTGCAAGATGTAAAATGGATAATTTTGATTATATTAAATTTAAAAAGCTTTTACACAAACAAAACCAATGCAACCAAGATTAGAAGGAAAGTAGAAAGCTGGGAAACAATTTTTCCAGCAAGTGTCTTTGATAAAGGCCTCGTTTCTCAAATATATGGAGAATTCAATCAAATTTATAAGAATACAGACCATTCCCCAACTGATAGATGGTCAAGCAGGCAGTTTTCAGATGAAGAATCAAAGCTATCTCTAGTCACATGAAGAAATGCTCTAAATAACTCTGGATTAGAGAAATGCAAATTAAAACGACTCTGAGGTACCACCTCACACCTATCAGATTGGCTAATATGACCGAAAAAGATAATGATAAATGTTGGAAAGAATGTGGGGAAATTGGGACACTAATGCACTGTTGGTAGAGTTGTAAAGTGATCCAACCATTCTGGAGAGCAATTTGGAATTATGCCCAAAGGCAATCGAACTGTACCTACCCTTTCACCCAGCAATACCACTGCTAAGTCTATATCCCAAAGATATCATGAAAAGGGGGAAAGGACCTACATGCAAAAAAGAAAAAAAATTGTAGCAGCTTTTTTTGTAGTGGCAAAAAAGTTGGAAATTAAGGAGATGTTCATCAGTTGAGGGATGGCTGAACAAGCTATGGTATATGAATGTAATGAAATACTATTGTGCAATAAGAAACAATGAGCAGGCAGATTTCAGAAAAACCTGAAAAGGCTTATATGAACTGATGCTGAGTGAAATAAGCAGAACCAGAACATTGTACACTGTAACAGCAACAACGGGTGATGAATAGTGATGAATGACTTAGCCCCTCTCAGCAATACAATGATCCAAGACAATTACGAAAGAGTCATGATGGAAAATGCTATCTATATCCAAAGAAAAAACTGATGGACTTTGAATGTGCATGGAAGCATACTGTGTTCACTTTTTTTCATGATTTTTTTTCCTTTTGGTCTGTTTCTTCTTTTACAACATGACTAATACATAAATACATTTTACGTGGTTGTATATATATATATATATATATATGTATATTATACACATATACATATATATGTATGTGTGTGTATATATATAGATAGATATAGATATAGATATAGATGATAGATATAGATATAGATATAGATATAGATATAGATATAGATATAGATATAGATATAGATATAGATATAGATATAGATATGATATAGATATAGATATAGAATAATATAGATATAGATATAGATATAGATATAGATATAGATATAGATATAGATATAGATATAGATATAGATATAGATATAGATATAGATATAGATAGATATATAACCTATATAAGCTTGCTTACCATTTTAGAAAGACAGGAGGGGAGAGGGAGACAAAAATTTGGAATTCAAAATTTTATTAAAATGTATGTTAAAAATCATCTTTACATATAATTTGAAAAAAAAATACTACAAAAAAAGATTTCTTTTATCCTTAGTTCTGTGACATGAACTCAAAGACTTCCATCACCTCCTTGATTTGCATAGATCCCTGGAACACTTCATTGTAGACCTCCTTCCCTGGTGATATCTTTCAGGATAAGTTTGCTGGATAAGTTATTCTTGGATGCAACTTCAGCTCTTTTGCTCTTCAAAATATAATGTTCCAAGACCTATGGTCTTTTAGAGTAGATGCTGCTAAGTCTTGTGAAATCCTGACTGTATTTCCACAGTATTTAAATTGTTTTTTCTTGTTCCTTGCAATATCTTTTCCTTAACCTGGGAGCTATGACATTCCTGTAAATTTTCCTCCTAGAATCTGTTTCAGATAGTGAACTATAGATTTTTTTCTATTTCTACTTTACCCTCTTGTTCTAAAACTTCAAGACAATTTTCCTTAATAATTTCTTGTAGTATTGCATCCAGATTCTTTTTTTGACTATAACTTTCAGGTAGCCTGACAATTCTTATATTGGCTTTCCTCCATCTGTTCTCCAGATCATTTGTTTTTCTAATGAGATGTTTCAGATCCTCTTCTATTTCTTTTTATTATTTTTGGCATCTTATAACATCATTTGATTTCTCTTACCCAATTCTAGTTTCAAGAAGTTATTTTATTCCTTCAGATTTTAAGTAGGCAGAATAGGTCAGAAATTTCCAGGATCTCCAGATTTCCTCCACAAACAGAGAAAATCACCAGGAAATGAATATAGAGCAGCAAAATAAGGGAGTTAAGCAGTTCTCCTACTAAGACAACTTGAGAGGACCTCAGAAAAGACAGGGCCTCAAAAGGCTGAGGTTTGGCCAGGTAGACACCTACAGGACTACTCCACTGAATCAACAAACAGCAAGCCCTGGAGCAGCTCTGTCAGGAAGAAGACTAGACCTCAAGAAATTTCACCTCAACTTTCACCTCACTCACAGCCTCAAGAAATTTCACCTCACAGCCTCAGAAACTTACTTTTACTTCACAAACTTTCATCTAAGCACCAGAAGGTGGCTGAGTGGGGGAAGATTGCAGGCCACCCTCCAACCCACCACCATCAAACCTGCTGTTCCTTGAAACCAGGCCTAGCAGCGCTAACCAAAAGTGATCCTGGGCTGAGGCTATGGGCAAAGAGGAGCAAGCACACTCCAAATGAGTGTGGTATATTACAGGGATCAGGAACATTTTGGGGACAGAATGTTAGGAGCCCTGACTGTGGCTTAGAGGAGAAAAGGAATCCCTGAGGTTGAGTTCCAGGACAGAATTCAGTAAGGAGGACCTGAGGCCTAGAACAACATTACCCACAACTCAAGATTAAAACTTGATTATAGTGAAAATAAAACAAAATTAAATTAAAAAGTGAGTAAGCAAAGGAAAAAGAACATGACCTGCTACTTTGGTGTAAAAGAAATTTGGGTTCATATTCAGAGGAAGATAGTGAGGTTTAAAAAAAAAAATCCATTCCTACCGCAGAGTAACATCAAATGGTCACAAGCCCAAAAAGAGTTCTTAGAAGAACTTAAAAAGGAATTCAAAACTCAAATAAGATTGAGGGAAAATTAAGGGAAAAAATTAAAAGAAAAGCAATCCAAGAAAATTATGAAAAGAAAGTTAATCAATTGGAAAAAGAGACACAAAATCAAAAAGCAACACTATTTACAATCACTCTTGGAGTCTAACAAGTTGACCGATTCCATATCTACTCCTTTTGCAGTTTCCAGAGTTTCTCCCCAAACACCCATTTCTTTGCATTCTGGGATTGCTGGGCCTTGAAAACACAATTACAGCATTATTATTTAGCCCAGTTCTCTCTGCCTTTAAAACAACAAAGAGATTTTATCAAACATTTTGCTAAAATATATGTAACAATGAAAAATGCTATCCACCTACAGATAGAGAACTGATGGAATCTGATTGCAGATTGAAATATATTTTTTCCTTTATTTTGCCAGATCTCCCCCACTTCAAATATGGCTAGTGCAGAAATATGTTGTATGAATATATATGTGTGTGTGTGTGTCTATATATATAGACATACACACATATATAAGGTACCATATTTCTTACTCTCTCAATAGATGGGGGAGGGGTAGAGGGAGGGAGAGAATTTGAAAAGTGAAAATAAGTAATTTTTTTAGATTTTTAATTAATTTATTTATTTTTAGTTTTCAACAATCACTTCCATAAGCTTTTGAGTTTTAAATTTTCTCCCCCTCCCTCTCCACCTCCCTCCCCAAGATGGTGTACAATCTGATATAAGCTCTACTTATATATTCCTATTAAACATATTTTCACATAAGTTATGTTGTAAAGAAGAATTAGGACCAATAGGAGGAACCACAAGAAAGAAGAAACAAAACAAAACAGAAGAAAAAAAAGAGCAAATAGTATGCTTCAATCTGCATTCAAACTCCATGGTTCTTTCTCTGGATGTGGATAGCATTTTCCTTCATAAGACTTTTGGAGATGGCTTAGATCCTTGCATTGCTGAGAAGGGCTAAGTCTATCAAAGTTAGTCATCACACAACATGGCTGTTACTGTATACAACATTTTCCTGGTTCTGCTCACTTCACTCAGCATCAATCCATACAATTTTTTCCAGGTTTTTCTGAAGTCCACTTCTTATAGCACAATCGTATTGCATTTGTTCAGCCATTCCCCAACTGATGGGCATCCCCTCAATTTCCAATTCTTGGCCACCATGAAAAGAACTGCTATAAACGTTTTTGTACATATGGTTCCTTTTTGCATTTTTATGATCTCTTTGGGAAACATCCCTAGAAGTACTATTGCTAGGTCAAAGGGTATGCACATTTTTATAGCCCTTTGGGTATAGTTCCAAATTGCTCTCCAAAATGGTTGGATCAGTTCACAACTCCACCAATAATGCATTAGTGTTCCAATTTTCCCACATATTCTTCAATATCTATCATTTTCCTGTTTTATCATGTTGGCCAATCTGATAGGTATG